TAAATCTAGACTGAACACTACATGAACTGACCATTTTTTCAGTCTGCACTAGCAGTCAACAAAAAACTTGCACGTTATTTATTGTTCCCCAAGCTCATATAAGCAGCATTTCAAAGATAGTTTATTGCTATTAAATTAACACACCCCTTTTTTTGTTCAGTGTAGAGATTTCTTAGGTGTCTAAGTGCAAACCCACAGGTGCCTTAAACTTGGTTAAAAGAAAAATATATTCTTTCAAAGGCTGTTTATATAAACTACACCTAATTCCTCTCCTGGAATATAGCACCATCATATAATATGATACTGAGCATGGAAACCCTTCACTGAGTTATGGTGAATCAATGTCTTTCCTCTGTAGAACAGAAGAACCAAAGCTGCAAAGGAAAAGGGGATTTTTAAAAAATAGTAATAAAAAAATGATCTGGCACATAGATTAGTCATTTCTAAACTGCACCAACTATCCATGTCGAAGGTATAAATCCAGACAGAGTGCTTGCTCACTGAATGACCTTATTATTGGTTTTGAGAGCAGACTGATGAATAATGCAAGTTGTGGTCATGAAATCAAAGGTTATTATCAGTCCAGATTTTGTAGACCAAAGCCCTGTAATTTCTACAGCTCCCACACACAGTGTGTCAGCACTTGCTCAAATGGACTGGTCATAGTTCATAGAATCATAGACTCATAGAATCATAGAATTTAGGGATTGGAATGGACCTTACAGATCATCGAGTCCCAACCCCCTGCCCTGGGCAGGGACACCTCCTCACTAGATCAGGATGCCCTCCTCATCCAGCCTGGCCTTGAATACCACCAGGGTTGGGGCAGCCACAGCCTCCCTGGGCAACCTGTGCCAGTGTCTCACCGCCCTTAGAGTAAAAAACCTTTTTCTCACATCCAAAAAGTTACTTGCAAGCTACTCATTTTATGTCTCCAACAGCAACAATAGACTGTGTATGTTATAAATATGCATAGTGCAAATATCCTTTGCTGGGTTTGATCCTGCAAGATCTAAAAAGTATCATGTTTTTTTCATTATGGAATTCAAAAAAATTTTTTTTATTTCATAGGTTACCATGGTAACAAAATGATAACTGGGTTCCTATTTTCATTTTACATTAATAAAAGGCTAAATGTTAGGAGCAGTGACAAGTATGTTCTATTCAGACTTGGTGCTGCATAACAAGAGGTGTTGTGTTTCTGGAGAATATGAGGCTTGGAATTAATCCTTTAAGTCCTGAGTTACCATAGCTTTTAGGCCTGTTTATCTATCTATATGATTGGTGTTAAAGACAAGATCTCTTAAGAAGGATAACTCTGAATTAGATTAAAAGAAGGCAAAAAGAAAATTTGCCTATGATCTGTAAGATTCCAATATATAGATATCAATGTTCAGACCCTGATGGGTATTTAAGATGCTCCAGCAACTGTGTCCAAGCCTGTAGACCTGCACTTGCAAATTCTACAGTGCTTACAGAAAACTGTAAAGGATGACAGAAGTATTAATAGCAACAATTCAGTTCCTCCAGGGTGAAGGAGAAAAAGAGGCAATATCCATTGATTATACCATTAGCCAGAGAATTGCATTAACCATTTCCAAGATCTCGGGTCTTCAGGCTGAGGGAATGAGAACAAATGCAGGAGGGAAATGGGACTAAGATTTTATCAAGAGCGATGAAGTTGTTCTGGGGATGGAAACTGCTGTACTTGGGGTAAAAGTCACCCTGAACTCACACAATTAGTGATCATGGTTTGCTCCTTTCTCCATTTTTTGAAGGAAGTGGCTACTTGGCCTCTCATAGGTATACAGCTCTCTGTATACAATAGTGTAGAGCTCTTGGAGCAGACTCCCTGAGGTTTACATGAAAAGAGTGTAGAACCCTCCATGTTACTATTTAAGTGATAGTGTGGTAGTTTGTAGGACAGACATAGCAGGTATAAGTAGAACTGGCAGGAAACCTTCCTTTAAAATGTTCATTTGTTTAATTTACCCATGTTAATTCAACTTTGAGGAGAAAGGATTCCTTATCTCCAGGCTGGAATATATAGTGAAACTGTGGAGTGCAAGAGAAATGGAGAAAGGAGAAGTTACTGCAGAATCATGAGTAGCTATTTAGTCACCTAGGGAAATCAGTGGGTAGCTGAGATTCAGGAGAGGACCTCATTAATATATTCAAGTACATGAATGGGAAGTGCTCAGAGGATGGAACCAGACTCTTCTCACTTCTGGAAACAAAACAAGAGGTAACAGCAAAAACTGATGCACAAGAAGTTCCACCTGAATATGAGAAAGAACTTTTTTCCTGTTCAATCACTGAGCACTGAACAGATTGCCCAGAGAGGTTGTGGATTCTCCCTCACTGAAGGTATTCAAGAACCATCTGGACACAATCCTGAGCCATGTGCTCTAGGGTGGCCATGCTGGAGTAGGGAGGTTGGACCAGATGACCCATTGTGGTTCCTTCCAACCTGTCTGATTCTGGGATTCTGAAGTTAAATTAAGAAGCTGCTGTGTTAGCACACTGGGGAGTTCTGGGTCTTTTGGTTTTGCCGTAAAAATCTATTAGTTTCATTTTGAACCGAAACAGGGATTATTTTAAATCTTGGAGTGTTCTAGGACAAGGTAATGATTACATTTGCAGCTCTAAAAACAGGACATCTTATGGGTACCTTACATGTGGGGTTAGATGATGAGCAGTTGACTGAAATTTAGTCTGTTACACTTTTCTAGGCAAGTTCAATGAAGATTGTGACCAAAGTAGAGAAACACAGGGATGACTGAGTCTGTTGTTGGACCACCTGTGAGATTTTTCAGTCATTCCTCGTAAAGGACTACTGGATATCCATGTGCTTAAAACAAACTGCAGTATCTGAACACTTAATATCATACAATTGTTGGCAATTTAGATTGTTAGGGAGCTCAATAGATCTGGTCCAGCTTTCCACTCAAAGTAGGGTGTAATTGCCTCCTGGATGCAACTTGTATTTTTGTCTCATTGATAAACTTCTGGTGATTCTAGTTTGGCTACCTAAAAAAAATGTTGAAGAAATAGTAAGCTAGAGATATTCATCCAATATGCCAGTTTCTTCCCTGTGCCATGTCTGGGAATAGCACAGCCTTGATTTGCCAGAGTGTTTTATGAGGAAGATACAGTTCCTGTCAATATACTTTGGGAGTGAAAAATTTCCCAGGAGAGAGCATGTAGACCAAACATCTGATGGCTGTGCTGTTAGCAGAGCTCTCAGGGGCTCACCAGAATCCTTGTGCTTCTGCACAATTCTCACAGAGGGCTGGAGGTCTTTGAGGATGCTGCAGCATCCCCAGGGGTCAGACAATCCACAGAAAGTAAATTCAACATATTTATGGACAATCCAGGTGGCTGAGTGCTTTAACCATACCATCCCTGAAGCACAATAGTAATAATCCTAACAAACCCATTTCTGCAAATACTAAATTTCCAGAAATTAAAAGCCATATAAGTCAAGTGTTAGTTTTAAATGTTGGGATGAGAAGGGAATTGGAATCAGACAAAGCTGAGCACTGGCCAGTAGGAATCACTGAGATCGTGGGAGTCCTGTCATTGTCACTGAGAGGACCTTGTACTGCTAATGTGCTCTCTGTTGCACAGAAGTCTCCATTAGATCTAGCTATGGAGTGGGACTCAGTATGAGATTAGGACAGCTCCATTTAGGTCAGTACAAAGAGGGCTATTTTTTCCTTTGCATGTCTGCTAGCTTCACATCTGAGGCATCCCACAGAGACCTCTGTACAGCCAACTGATTTGAGCTCTTAGCAGCTGAATGTCTCTCTCTCTTCCACCATTGATGAGGTCTTTATTGACTGTAATAGTTTATACACGTGGCAGAAATGTGGACAATTACACTCAGTTTTCTTAATTTCGTGAGGAGTCTTACACAAAATGTGTCAAGAGGTTTCAGTGCAGGTGCCTGAATAGGCATTAAAAGTAGATCAAATAGGTTTTATTTTAGCCAACTTGAAGAGATGTCTGAATCATTACTGCATCATGTGAGAGTCACAATGCAGTGTTTAAGGTGGTGGATTAATAACTGAGGAAGAGACAGAATTTTTGCACCATATCATAATGTTAAACTTTTGTCCAGAAAGTCAACAGTCTTGAAACCAAATCCTGCAACTGATGTAATCAGTACAGTATTGATAAGAAACTGATTGATTAAAAGGTCTCAAACACTCTGAGACTGAGGAGAAACTAAAACTTTCTCATTTCTAAATGGAATTTGGAGATTTATTTAGTGATTTCAGTCAAAGCAGAAAGAGCCTGACCACCATAAACTGGACCTTTAGGAAATCAGGTCGATGCTTCCCTGCTAACATCCCAACTTCTGCTGCCTAACCTGAGTCACTTCTCAGCATGTATGAAATATTGTGTGTCAGTGTTTACAGAGTTCTGTCATCCAGAGATGACAATAGAAGCAATAACTAAATACAAACAACTTGGCAGTTAGACAATGTGATTAGCAGGTGATTTGTATCCCACAAGCCCAGAAGCCTAACTATTTGTCAAGTCCACTTATGGCACTGAAACAAGCAATGTGAATATAACCCTCACGTATTTACTTTACAGAATTATTATTTTGTGTACTAAATGAATGTTTAAAATATCATGAAGCAGATTGATTTTAGACAAGACTTTGTTTTGTGTTACCTCCAAATGCCTCAGTGTCACTGCAGATCTTTCTAGCAATGTAAAAAGAGCAACAGTGTGATACTTTTTCATTAGTGGAAATAAATGATATGGATCCAAATAATGTCTGGCATGATCTTAAAAATGCATCTTATATACCTCTGTCAACTTCAACAAATATAACTGTATTGCTTTGAAAGACATCCTCACGAGGAAGATGTGCTATGCAAGGTGTTGTGTAAATGGTTTACTTTGTAAATTATCCTGGGCTTTCAAAAAGATCATTCTACCTTTAGGCCATGTGCTTGACAGTATGTCTCTCATCTTATTAACAGGCACCACAAGGCCACATAAGGAGGGGGAAGTCCCTGGTGTGGACTATATTTTCATCACTGTTGAAGATTTTATGGAATTGGAGAAAAGTGGTGCTCTCTTAGAAAGTGGAACATATGAAGGTAAGCATGTTTTTACTCCTAAATTTCTGTCATGTTTCCATTGTACACTTTTCTAATTTGAGGGAATTGCACTGGGTTATCTCATCACAAATGTGTCACTGCTACTGTTAGCAGAAATTTGTGAAGAGCCACATGGCCAGTACCAGAATATTTTCATATGTAAAAGCTAAATGCAGATGGGTTCATTGTAATTTTAGTGTATTATAGTGGCTAAGAGAAACATGGTAATACATTACACTTACAGGCCAGAAACACTAGTCCTTTACACCAAATACTCAAGGGCATTTCCACGAAGTTTCAATAAGCAGCTGCATTTCTAACACAGGACAAACACACTCTACAACAGAGATCAGGTGTAAGGCTGACACTTCTACAATGCACATGTGATCCTGAAATACCAGTCTATAACAGAGGTTGAAACCTCAGTACTTAACTAAAAGAGGAAGGATTTGCTATGTCATGTCTTATGGGCTTTGTAAAGTTATTGAAAAGAACTCATTAATTTTGTAATATGACAGGGGGATAGGAACTGTCCTAAGGACTGTATTAGAAAGTGCCTTTCTATGGGGCAAAGAGCCAGCAGCTTACTGCAGAACATTGCTTCCCAGGAGAATTGGTGATTTGTCTGATTTTAAACCTATTCCAAAGCAGAGCTATCCTGAAACTACTGCAAATGGGATGGCAGTTACATAGCAGGACGTTCTCATAAAGCCAGAACAATTGTACACTATTTTAAACCAAATGTTTCTTAGAAAAACATGAGTATCTAGAATAACTGAGTAATCATAGAATCATCTGGATTGGAAAAGACCTCCAAGATCATCAAGTCCAACCC